GTTGACCGCGTAACTGGTTCTTAATTTTTGGAAATAAATAAAAGTCACAAGATGCCAGGTCGGGACAGTACGTGGGATGGCTCATGGGATGGGTCAACGTTATTATTCAACAACAATTCAACAAACAAAAATTCGATCTTTGTATTAATAATAAAATTATAACAAACTAGTGGAGTAATTTCACAAAAAATAATTGAATATCAATTCAATAAAAATTTAATTAAACAAAAATTCATTTGTTTGTCTAGCCGTGTGAGAACTGGCATTATCGTGGTGCAAGATGATACGGCGTTTACGGATATTTTTACGGAGTTTGTCAATAACTTCCGGCAAACAAATGGTCATATACCAATCACTATTCACGGTACAAGGATTCTCCAAAGCAACAGTAGCCACGTGTCCAGTCTTATTAAAAAAGAAGAAACCATTCGTTTAGAGGCACTTTGCACGCGCGCCACTTTGGTTGGTTTCGGCTCATCTCGAAAGACCCATACGCTCGATTGCTGCTTTATTTTGGGATCGTAACTATAAATCCATGTTTCGTCACCTGTTACTATGTCCCACATCAAATTTGATGCCCCTTCGTTGAATCTGGTAAGCATGGCATTGCACCACACAAGTGACGCGATCCGTTTTTTTGGCTTCAGTCAATTTGTGTGGGATCCACCGAGAGCACATCTTTTTCACACCCAAATGTTTCTGTAATATTAATTATATTTAACTCATGTCTATGCCGAAAGATGCCCGAATCTCATGATATGTCACATGCCTGTCTGTTTTGATCGTACGGCGCACAGCATCGATGTTTTTGTTGTTCACAGCAGTGGACGGGCGACCATCACGAAATTCGTCACTGAGATTCACACGACCGCATTTCAATTTTGCAAACCAGCTATAAATAGTCCTCGTGCATGGTGCTTCATCGCCAAAAGCAGTTTGAAGCCGAGCGAAGCTCCGCTGAGCCGTTAATTTACACCTAAAGTCGTAGAAAATCATACTACGAAAATTTTCACGAGTTAAATCCATGGTGATGTAGACAACGAATTTCTAAAATGACGCCACAATGTAAAAACAAGTGACAGTCAGATGAAATAAACTGTATTCTACAGCCAAAGAGTTCCATTTTCAAATGTTGTAATTACATTTTAAATATTGTTAATGTAAGTGGCCAGTTCCGGAAACTTATAGTGCGCCCTATGTACTGATTATCATTATAGCTTAAATTATGGAAAAACATATCGTAAAATTACATAATTATATAACTGTCATAAAGTATATCACAGTTGGCACTACAACAAAAAAACCGTTTAAATCCAAAAGATTTGTAACAAGCACTCATAGAAAATCGCAAATCTGACTCTAGCAGTAACCACAGTGGGGCAACAGATACTGGTTTGAGTCCAGTCGGATCGAAGAAATATTTCTTTGTGTTTGTTCGATCTTTGTATCAAACTAGCGAAATATTTTCACAAAAGAAAATATGGTAGTAAAAACATCATGACATTCAATGAAAACAAATATTGGTAGGTCACTTTGCGATAAATATTACAATGGTAAAGGGATTACTTTTAAAACACTATTGACTGTGCCCAATACTATACGGTACATTACCGCTCTCCGACTGTTATTTGAAGGAACTAACCTCCTCACTGGCTGAATATAAACAGAGCACCGATGTAGAATTTGCTTGACTCGCTTGCATTCCCGCTGTGAAGAGCTCTTTTGTTTACGTTTTATTATTCCACCAGTTTTCCGCGTTCCATGTTAATATACGAAGAGCGTGCGAACGAAAATATTAAATTGAAATGGCTGAATTTCATGAACGTTGATTTCATTGTTCTGGTTGAAATTTTATGACAGGTAACTTACTGGTGTTATGTACGAGTTTATCATGAAGGGTTCTTTCTTTTACATTAATTTTGACGAGCACAATAATAATATAATAATGTCACACGTTCAAATGTGCAGTTTAAGTTTGTTCAACTGTAGGTATACTGACGATTATTAATAGGTACACACAGAACGTCGTTTGTTAAAGCAATTCAATTCTACCTAACCTAGATTTTACTTTCCTATTTCGAACATAATATAGTATAATAATGACTTTGCTAACAGTTTTTTAGTAGCAGTAGAGCTGCTTGTGAAAGAGTTCATCTAGGGAAGTACTGCCACCTTACCTATTTCTTCCGCCAAGCAGTGAGTATTACTGCGTTCCGGTGTTGAAGGGTGCTGGTGAAATTACAGGCACATGAGGCTTGTCAACTTATGTCTCATGGTTTCGGGCGCAGTGGCAGTGCCTCACAGATTTTTGTGAATTAAAGCTCTGAGTGGCACTGCGACTGCTATGGACAGAAGTGTCGCTTACCACCAGGCGCACGACTTGTTCGTCCTGTCGTCACTTACTATTTATTAATATATAAATAAAGACCTATCTATTATTACCTGGTCAAAATAGACAACTCCCGTACTATGAGTAAAGAGCAAGAGAGGCAGAGGGGCAACATGTCACTAAGAGGCACTCCCCTACAGAATACCCAGATCAGAACTAAATTAGAAAAGTTCATTTTCCAAATTGGTCTTACCGAGAATCTAATACGGTACTTTCTCATCCAGCGCCCACAACGCAAACCGTCAAACTATGTAATGTAGTAGAATATTCTCGAAACTTCCGTCTTTTTATTCGCTCGAAAAGTGTTTTAAAAAACGCGGTCGCATCATTACAGGTGCGCTATAGACTGTGTAGCGCTGTTCTAATAGACGTTATTGTTGGTCGATGAATAGAGCCATCACTTGATGCGCTTTAGCCGCTTCACTGGGACCCCTTGAGAGCAATGAGCTGCCTGAGGACGTCCTGTCAAGTGGCGCCACGCGATATATTCTACTGCAAAAAAAAGTGGGTTAATCCTTTAAGACAATGTTGCAAAGTCGCCATTGTTCATTGTAGAATCCGAGAAAGTCGCAAAAGAGAGAGCTCTCGCCCCCTTTTTCGACTGTGTCGGTTTCTAATGAATTTAATTTTTTTCTATGATCATGGATTCCAGAGTACCTATTTGTTAGGTGTAATAATGGTAAATTGTGTATGTACTGGACAGTAAATAAGACATTATTAAAAGAGGAGGCTTTAATCACTCGAGTTTTGTATTTTTTACCGTCCGTTTACATTTGGGAGGAATTAAATACAATGTAATTAGGATTCACAACACAACAATTATGGATTTGGCAAATGGCGGGTTTTTAGTTTATTTTTTTAAATTCTTCCATAGATACTAAAACGCGAACTAAAATGTTGCAAAAAGCAAACACGCATACAGCCATGATAGATTGTAAAAAAAATTGCAAAATTTTTATACAGAAAATAATAATTAATTATAAAAAAATCTTAATAATAAGTATTTATGCAGTATGTGACTGAATTGCAATAAAATTTATAGTTAGATAACATTTTAAGCGAAAGTTTTCATTTAAGTAAGGAAGTATGTCGTGCTGTAAATTACAAAAATCTCCCGACCGACCATAGCTGTAATAGAAAGAAAAAAGTTTTTTGGGGCATTATTGTCAAGTTAGCCACCGCAGCAGTCATACCACATACGTCCAACTGTGATGAAAAATTATTTGTTATTGATAAAAAAATGGCGGTAACACTAACTAAAACAACACACAACTAAAGCGTTTTGGTATTCTTTTGCTTTTTCGTTTTTTTTTTGTATTTGGGTCGCGAAAATGATTGCTACTCAGAAGAGCGATAACGAAAATATAGTAATAGACACACATTCAAACACATCATCAGAAGTTCAGCAGATTATTATTAATGTGCCTTGAAAAACAACAACATTTTCTTCAACACGTGAAATATTACTTTTAATTTTTTTTTTCTTTTTCTATTAAACATCTTCCTCTCTTTAGTCTTTTATTATTTCCTCACATTGTTTGAGAAAAATTCTATACATCGCTCGGCAGAAAAGGGGATTGCTTGATTCGTATTAATACAAGGCCTCGCTGGCATTCGTCCTTGTAACTCATACTTGTCCAGCAATCCCTTACTTCCCGGCCTCTGCAATAATGTACAAAACACGAAGATCGGAAACAAAGTACAACCCTGTCCTGGATTGGCATACAGACACAGGTTCGAATTCCGTCAGTTTGAAGGAAATTTTCTTAGTGTTCGATTGATGTAGTTTTTTTTTCTAATATAATTTAAATTAAATTCTATTCTAATTATAACAAACTAGTATAGTAATTTTCCAAAAAATAATGAAAATTCGAGTAGTAAAACATAATATTCATTTCAATATTACAGATATATTTGTCTTTATTTTGATAACTGGGTAGTTTATTTAGGTATAAATATAAACCGGTAAAAATTTACAACAGAGACCTGGATTTCAAAGCATTTTCTAGACCGTTGGAGATCTACCTCATGAATATAAATTGTCCGATTATGAGCATGTACACACAGGTAGTTTTGTTTCTTGTAGAGAATAGTCGTGCCTTATAATAACGTTTATAGTTTATTTCCAACCTAGAATTTTTCAGAACATTTATGAATTCTTATATCTTGCTGTGACGCTTTTTCGGATTTAAATCGCGAACAAATTAACGTTTCGGGCCCTTTAGAGTTGTCATGGTTATCCCAAGCAGACATAAAACTGCAGTACTAATCAATATGTTTTAATTGATTCTAATTACCGTTATTACTTAATAATGAAATTAATTTCATTTCATAATAATAATTCAAATTAAAAACGAAAATAATTAAAAATAATATAAGTCGAGCCGCGCTAAATAGGGATCTACACCGGTTTCACTGGTTTCATAATGAAAGTAATGTTTTCATGGCTGATTTTCAATTACCTAGTAGCGATAAAACACTATCAAAAATGTGAAGATTTGTTTCCGTTACACTTATCAAATGATAAACTTTTATCATTAAACGCCTATCTGATATAATATGACAAATGTCCGCGGCGAAATTAACCCAAAAATATCTCTTTCAATGTACTTCGCCAGCAATATATCACGTCATTAAGTAAAAGCGTAATTTTCATATTCCATTCTATATTTTTTGTTATCTTTATTATTTTAGGTCCTTAAGCAATTGTGCGTAACGTACCGGTGTTTGCGTTATTAAAAATTATACATTACGAGGTGAAAACAAAAGGCGATCGCAGAACGTCGGTAAAACAGTCCTTTATCGACAATAGACAGAGTGCATGTAACTGCATTGGTCATTAACTGCAGTACGCTGTCGAAGATGGTATCAAACGCGTGGTCTCCAAACATCAAGGATAAAGTGTTTTTGGTGACAGGCGGTGCAGCCGGAGTTGGAGCCGCTGTGGTTCGAAGTTTGCTCGCAGATGATGCTCGGGTAAAATTGTTTTTTATACTTAAATTTTTCCTATATTTTCGTTTCCAGACCCGTAAGTGAATCGTTTCACAAGATTCGTGTGATTACAAGGTGGCGTTGATATATACTTATTTATCATTTCGCTCGACATTAACAAACTGTTTATCTTGTTGTTCCGTAATTAAGTTAATACTATAATATGATTATTTTTGGTAAACGCAAGTTAATTTTGTTTATATTGCCCATTAGATGTAGTTATCGTAATAAAGTAATCGCTTTTTACGCTTTTTTATGTTGCTTTACTATTTTCGTCATACCTATTGAAAAACCATGTTATACAGTTGTTAGAAATCTACCAACCAGTATGAAGATTTAAATGCTAATTACGCTTGCTCATGTATATAGTGTACGAATATGGAGTGAAATTCCCTGACTGTATATTTGTTCCCTGAATCCCTGAACGCTATAACTTGGCCCTTTTCAGACGAGATTGAATAGGTATTATTTAGGTCAGCATACTCTGTCTTTGATCTCAACGTCACTTTCCACCAGGTTAGACGAAGCTTTTTTTATAATATCAAGTGACGGGACGAACAAGCCGTGCGCCTGATGGTAAGCTACACGCCTGTTCATAACAGTTGTAGTTATCATTCGATCTGTAAATCGCAAAGATCTGATGGGCACTGCCACTGCGCCCGCCACTCTGAGACATAGTTGACAAGTCCCATGTGCCTGTAATTTCATCAGCACCTTTGCCCTGCTAAGCCGAAACGCAGTGCTGGTAGTACTTTCCTGGACGAACTCTTTCACAAGGAGCAGTCTTGAACACCACCGTGAGGTTGCTTGCTTATCGGTATTCCACAGGATAATGTCACGGATAATGTGCGATGGAATTGCATAATTTGATTCCGCCTGCCCCTTTACATCATTGGGGGACTAGACGTGGGCTGGAATTCCACACCTTACGTTGTGTATATTCCCAGGACTCGCACGAAGCGTTCCGCTTCCACATTTATATGGCGAGCGGCTAGTGAGTGGAATTCCCTACCAGCGGACTTATTCCCCGAACTCTATACCTTGGATCTTTTCAAGGCGAGAGCGAAAAGGCATCATTTAAGTGTGCATGCTACATCGTCACTCGATGACCTCATCATCACTTTCCATCAGGTGAGATGGAGGTCAAGTGCGCACTTGTTTTTTATATAAAAAAGGTGAAATGCGCGCTTGTTTTGCCATTAAAAAAGGTTCCTGATAGCGTTTATTGTACGTAAGTAAAATAAGTCAAGTCGATAACTAATAAATAAAATTTCAGTGCGTGGTGTTCTTGGACGTGCTGGACCGAGAGGGTACGGCCCTCGAGACCGAACTCTTACAAAAGTTCGGAGCACTACAAGCAAAGTTCATAAAATGCGACATCTCCGATGAAAACCAACTCGAGGTAGCGTTCCGCCAAGTTCTCGACAAATATAGAAAACTTGATGTGGTTATAAACAACGCTGCGATTTTGGGCGTTGATAAATTGTTCAAGAAGATGATTGATATCAATTTCGTAAGTATAATTTATTACTATTAAAATATTATTCTTAATCGAAGCGTCGTCATCGTACGATCGAAACACTTATTGTTTACCAAATTTAAACAAAATAAATAATAAACATAGTTCAGGATTGTGGCATCTTTGTCAGTCTATCGTATAAACAACGACATAATAATGTGAATAAACATATCCGAATATGTAAAGACTTTTAACTGTAACATTGTATTTGTGTTAATACGTAGGTCACTCAATAAGTTTTGAGATAAAGAAAAAATATCAAGCATATTAATATAATTTATTTTACATTTTTTCAAAATACTCTCCATCATTATCTACACAAAGTTTCATTCGTCTAAACCAACTCTGAAAACATTTTTGCCAGTCTTGATCCGTCAGCATTGAAATTGCCATTTCGTAGGCAGCCACTGCTTCTTCGACACTCAAAAAAAATTTTCCTTTCATTTTATCCTTCACTGCTGGGAACAAAAAGAAATCGTAGGGAGCCAAGTCAGGGCTGTACGGCGGGTGATTTAAGATTTCTATACCAGATTCCTCAATAAACGCCTTTGTTCTGAGAGACGTATGTGAAGAGGCGTTATCGTGATGTAGCATGATTCCCCGAAGCCCGGTCTTTGGTCTCCTCTCCCGCACAGCTTGGAAAACTTTTGGCAATGCTACTGTTGTGTACCATTCTGAATTAACAGACCTACTATTTTCTAACATTGACGTCGACAAATGTCCGCTCAGAGAAAAAAAACTAGCTACCATTTTTTTGCCAACGTTTCGAGGTCTTTGCAACTTTGTTGGCAATTGTCCCTCTGCGAAGACCCACACCGACGACTGCTTCTTGCTTTCTGGATCATATTGATAGATCCATGTTTCATCACCAGTAACGATTTCTGAAACACGTCTCGATGTCCCGTTTTCGAAACGTATGAGTATTTCTCGGCACTCCAGCCTGTTTTTCAGTATCGGGGAGCAATCGTGGGATCCATCGACAACAAAGCTTCCTCACTCCAAGACGTTGATGCAGGATAGTATTGACGCTTCCCGAACTAATGCCTAGGATCTTCTTAGTGTTCGTGTACGTGATTTGTGGGTCTTCTCGCACCAACATTTCAGATGTCCACACATTTTCTGCAGTAACTGCTGTTTCCGGGCGTCCGCCTCTTAGGTCATCTTCAAGGTTAGTTTTGCCTCTTTTAAATTCCTTAAACCACCTAAAAACTGTTGCACGAGAAGGAGCAGAGTCCTCTAATGCTGACTGCAAACGTTCCAAACTCAATTGTTCAGTTAAACCACATTTAAAATCATAGAAGATCATAGCACGCAAATGTTCACGGTCAAGATCCATTATTGCAAAGAAAAGCGCGGGAAGCGTTGTAGTAAAATGACTAACAATGTCATTTTTTTTTAATTTATCTAAATTGCTTTTGGTGATCTATTTTTAAATAAATTTGCTTTTTAAAACCATATAATACTGGTGCGTTCCATTTTTAAATTTCGAGCATCTCAAAAGTTATTGAGTGCCCTACGTACCTAGCTAATGCTATACAGGGTGACTGAGGTGTCGTGATGCCGACCCATTTTTTAACGCAGAAAATTATTACAATTTCGTTAATGTAGTGTTTTGTTACATAATCCCTATTCATTTATTGCATGTCATACAATTAGAGTAAAGCATTTTATTAATAAATACTATATTATATAAGAGTAATACTGACATTATGGACATCTTACATTGCATGTCAAACATTTTTTGAAAACGAACTGATCAAAGATATAAATTTAGGAAATAAAACTATTTTTTTTAATCCAAATCGCTTATATTTGTTTTTTCAAACAAGCCAACGTTTTGAAACTCTTTACAGGTTACCAAAACAAATAAGAGCGTTTAGACCCGAAAAAATAATTTCATTTCCTTCAGAGTAACAATCGCGAAAACCTAACAACTCGAAAGGAATAAGACATTGTCAAAAATCACACATGACAAAGTTATGATGCTAAATGAAGAAATTTATAAAACTTCAGATGACTATGATTCTAAATAATAAGAATTAAATTATATTTATATTATACATGAAAACAGGTTATTGCTTTAACACTTTCAAATATATTGTGTTGTGTTCCTAATGTGACAGTAAGTTATAATTAACTGTGTTGCTACACGACCCAGTGTCAACCTGTATAGTTGTATCGTAAACAAATACAAGTAAGTAAACAATAACTTAAGTTCCTACTTATAATTAAGGTGTTAAGTAAGTTCCAGGGTTTTGTATTCACATAAAAGTCTTTTAGACATATATTTGAGATTGTTATTTACTATGTATCTGACTTTGTAAAGAATGCATGTATACATAATATAAGCGTGCGTATATTTCAAGTCTTTTCGAAGGCTCATATCATGTCAGTTTATCAAGGAAGATCGATACCCTTATAAATTTTGTGACAAAGTTTTCTTGAAGAAACTCGACAAAGTTGTGTTATTAGATTTTGGGTTTCATAATTTGATTATAATACCTGTAACTTGCAATATTGATATGAAATTATACTAAGTTTCTACGAACGTATTCTGTCAAACAATAATATCGCTAGGATTATGGACAGGCGTGTCACTTACTACCAGTCGCACAACTTGTTCGTCTCGTCACTTGACATTATAAAAAAATGTATGTAATCAGTCAAACCTAAGAATTTACAACAATTCTCGTTTAATATGAAGTCTTTAAAGAAACAGTGAAACACGTATTCATGCATTATTTATAGATAATTTTAAATGTTCACGTATTTTATTTCAGTACTTTAGGAAAATACAGTTGAAATTTAAGTTTCAAGGTTTACGTTTCAGTTTAGTTTTATGTCACTCAGAGCTTTAAATCGTAAAGATCGGAAGTGTACCACTACTACGCCTGTCAACCTAGTAAAGTTAACAACTCCCATGCGCCGGTAATGCTCACATTACACTGAAATAGGTATGGTAGGTAAAGTAACTACGGCTCTACATTGATATATCACTCAGGGACTTGATCTTTTACAATTAATATATAAACTGCAAAGGATACATAGACTAAATAAAAACAAAAATATTCCTGTCCTCAACAAAATCGATTATTGCCAAAAAAATCAGTTCATGTCTCTATCCTTTTATTTGTAACAAAACAAAACCCTGTTTTACGGGTACCGTGGACACACACATAGACAACCACAAATTACACCCAAAGTCACGAGAGATAAACAAATGTAGCCCATACAAATATTTCTTCCGGCCTGGGAATCGAACCTCTACGTGGCAATCCAGGATCGTAACCGTTCGGCCATTGAGGTAATTAAATATTGTTAAGTGGTAAGTTAAGTGACAAATTTCATCGAAAAATACTCAATCAGAGAATGACACTCTTGCCTCGAATCACTCTGCAGTGAGGATAGTGAGCAATTTTTTAAATAGGCACGTAGATACAAAACACACATACACAAACACGCACAAATAATTTAAATTTCTATTCTTTTGTACGAGTAATGTAGTGTTAATAATAATAATAATGCACACTGTATCGCGGTCGCCATTGACACACATAGGCAATCACAAATTACATCAAAACTCACAAAAGAAATAAAAATGGCCATTAGGCGCACGACTAGTTCGTTCCTTCACTTGGTATCATATAAAAAAAATGTAAGCCTTAAAATATTTCTCCTGGCCCGGGAATCGAACCCGGGACCTCTGCGTGTCTGGCTAGCATGGTAACCGTTCGACCACATAAGCAGTTAATTAGATATTCTATTCTCGTCTTTATTAATTTCGCGTACAAATTGCTAACTCTTTCTTGAATTGGTTACCTATGTATTCCATAATGTGTAAAACAACAATCTCTCTTCTATGTATCTTATCTGAAATTGAACTATTTTTAATTTCATGAACAAATAAAATTACTTAACAAACTCATAACTTTTATAATCTTCACCAGAACCTATTCAATTCACTACTGATTTATTACCCGCTGAGCTGTAAAACCCATTCAATTGTGATTACCACCAATCACTGTCACAACTAAAACTATTCCATCTGCTGATTGGCTATCAATTTTTTTGGATATGTTTATTGATTTGTTGTCATTGGCTTTGTTATTCCAGACAGCAACAGTCAGCTGTACTATTAAAGCGCTAGAAATTATGAGCGAAGAAACTGGAGGGTGTGGTGGTACAGTCCTCAACTTGTCGTCTATGCTGGCGCTGAAACACCATAGTCACCTGCCCGTGTACTCTGCGACTAAAGCAGCAGTATTACAATTCAGCAATTCACTTGGGGTGAGATTTTATAATGCGTAAATTTTACAATTTCGCTCTTGATCAAAATTAAGTCAAGATCAGCTCAATAATGGAGCGAACCTTAACCATGACATCTCTATTTATCTTCTAAGTAAAAATATAATCAGTGGCTATATACAGTGAAATATTTACTGTACCTATCTAAACTAAAAATGTTTGTTTGTTTGATTACAATCTTAGAATTTGTCGAACTGGGGGTCGATTCAGAACCTTACGATAACTAAGTTGTCGACCGATTAGATTTGATATCATACGATTTATTTTTATTTTTATTCACAAGTCAAACTGTCGTATTGGAAACCAAACAAAATGACGTCACACCCGTACGATTACTCGAACTTCTCGACCGGCAAAGGCTACAAACGTTATTCAGAACACAGTTATCGGATGAAAGTAACCGAATATCGTATTGTTTACAAAACAAGAATGTAATATGGAAATCTCTTATTATTTTAAACAAAAGTCTGGATTTTGTTCAATTTTATTGATTTATTTTAATGCAAGACTAATGCATTCCTACATTTTAGGCCTTTGAAGTCTTAAAAACTTATATAAAATGATTTTTATTTTTCTTATAATCTATTTCACTGACTAGTTAGTCGTAATCATAAAGGTTGTTGGATAACGGTATCGTATCCGAATCCGAATCGAGCGTTTAACTCGAATGTTCTGAATATCTTCGAAAGTGCCCTTCGATTCGAGAACTATATCCAATCGAACGACTGGGTCAAAATATCGAAGAGTTCAGAATCGCGACCCTGTATTAATAGTTATAGGAAATGAAACTATTTTTTCGGATCTAAATCATGTATAGGTAATTGTTTTTTCAAGCAAACCAACCAAGTTTATTGGTCCCATGAACACGGCTTGTAGATAATTTAACAAGTCTAGCTGTAACCATGCGACCTGTAATTAAATCCGAATAAATTTCCAATGTATAGCAATTGGAAAACCTAAGAACTTATACATCGAGTTATTGTCGATAAATGTTAAATATTGCTAGAAATAACTGGTTAAAAACTACCGCTTAATACTACATTGACAATCTTCCAGCTGCTAACGTATTGTAAATAACTTTTCTCTCAACAGACAGAAGAATATTATTCAAAGACAAAAGTTCGCGTCATGACTGTGTGCCTTGGCCCAACAGACACTGCCATACTACAGCGACAAAACTTGGAAAACTTCGACAAAGATTGCACAAGCCTAGCTTCGCGCGTCCCAGTGCGCCAGAGGTGAATCTTTGTCTTATTATCTAGCCTACTTGACTTTTCTTTGGAATGTTTACTCGGGTTAATGAAGACGGTGTTGTAATTTAGTGCGACAAAGTTCTAACTAGTTTGAATTTAGAAACTTTCGCACAAATACATGGTTATTACTGCATTTGTTTTGACCATCATTATCATGTGATGATAAGAAAACTATTGTAGTTATATGCATGTGTTCGTACTGCTTTTTCTACACCATTTGGACCTAAAATAAATAATCTATCGTTAATTATGAGATTTATAAGCGTTATACCTTGTGATATGACTTTTCTTTCTTTAGCATTACGGATCGTTTTATTTATTAGCCATTTACTTATATTTACTTTAGCGAGCCTTTTATCATGCATAAAACATGTTGGTCGTAAAAGAGCGGTTCCAATTTCCCCATTTTGAATTCTCGTGTGGGAAATTAAATTCGGTTTGTAAATTGGACATTACGAAAATGTATTCAAATGTAAATTCGAATTATTTTGGACGAATCAATTTTCTTGAAAAATGCTAAAAATAAATTTTTAGCAGAATCTAGTCATTTTTTTGTAATAATTTGTTAATTTTAGCGTCACACTATGTAGACTTCATTCATATAATTATAATTAAAGATAATAGCATAATTTGATCCGGTTAATGAATGTTGACGTACAAAAACCACATTAGTTTTAAATTATGCAGTTATAAACCACTTTTTATTTTATGTACAAAAATATTGAAAATCTACGGGGTTACCATTTAACAGGGCAATAAGTATTTGATATTTAACATTTATTTCTAAATTTGTGAAAACCTTAGGTAATTGTAAAACTTCTGTCAAAATAAAATATTAGTACACTCGTACGGGGACCCTGTGCGGTCAGTTGTAGGAAGGAATAAGACCATAATCATTCTGGATGATCAACAATAAATACAAAACACACAAATATTTTGCACTAACATAGATTTTTTTATATATATAAATAGTAGTTTATGTGACTGTTACATAATGAAATGCATTAAAAACATCACACGAGCGCTTTAATGCCTATTATGTACAGTTACGTACACTGATGTACGTATACACATATTATAAGCTTTTCTATTTTTATAAGCATGCGGCTATAAGATTTTCTCACGCATGTCACACAATCGTAGTTTTTATTCCATTCGTAGACAAACTAGATTCGGCCCCAACTATCATATCGTTCGATATCAAATAACGTGTGAAATCTGTCAAAACTGTTTGTTATTGACATTTCATTTCGAATAAAACTTTATCTCGACCTTAGACTATGGAAACCAAAGGACATGTGATATTGACATTATATAAATCAGACGTTATATGTGATGCATGACGTTGAAAACATAAACATTTTATTGCCTTTGTTTAACAACTGCGTGCCGTCGTAAGCCAAAAGAGATAGCACTACATTGATTTATGTCAAACACGGGAATCGAAAATACGTAACGTCATCTTAAATGCCAACTGTCCTCATTTTACCATTTTTGGAGTACCAAAGGGAAGTACATCAAATGTCAAAACCAATGTTTGGCCAAATGTGTTGTTGAATTATTCGCATGAATTGTAATGCAATGGACAAAAATAATGACAGTGAAAACAATTCAGTATTGATTAAATGATGAAAATCGAAAATCAACCGAATGTTATATTACACCGGAACATTACATTACATGTGTTATTTTTCTGCCTATAAATCATACAATAGCCCAAATATCTCATGTAATTAGACTCATTTAAGTAGTTTATTCATAAGTCTTACTGGATTTTGCTTTGGTCACTTTAGATTGCATGTTTGTTAGTATATTTGGTTGATCGTTGATAACGATTATTTTGAGATAGTGTTGTTCTAGAAAGCAGACACATCGATATTCTGTTATTAAAACAATTCACTACCAGGTTTTTATTATTACATTGTTATTATTTTTAAAGTTTACCTACAAATGAAAAAAGAAAGAAATAATGGTTGGAAATTATATGACTGCCGAACATAAACATTGGATCAAATACCATCTTCGTTTGTTCGCTCTGTTTTGAAGTCAAATTTTATTAGAATTTTGAATGTAACTGGATTACATGGTAATGCAATTCCATCGTTACATTTATTGGTAAATAACTTTATATTTAATTTTGATTGAAACGGCTCATTACTTGCCTAGTAATAATAGCCTAGTATTAATCATACTTTGATTACAGTAAACTATACAAATTTGCAAACATAAAAAACAGTTTCAACATTCAAGCCATATATTTGCATGTCGATATTGACTTGTCCTATGATTATAGTACGACACTAAATCCGCCATTTGTGGTGAACGTTTTTGGTTTAGGTAGGGACGTTTCTTCCGTAGATAGGGCAGCTCTTTCCCTTTATTTTTTCCACCCTCTAAGATCTTGACTGATTGAATAACTATTAGATTTGAGGTCAAATCAAATAGTTTTGTTTTTCAGAGATGTTCGAAATTTGAAGCAATAATAACATAAAAAAATTGTTCTAACAAAACAGTTTATCTTTAAGCTGGTCGTAATATGCGGTGTTGAACACATCGTAGAGGGCTTATAATATGTGTGTAGATAAAATACATTTTTTATTTCATAATTCCCAGTACCCAAAGTAAAACGACACGTTTTCGACGACGTGTGGCGCAATATGATGTCTGGTAACCGACCTCAGAATTGCTGGTATACGACACCATTCGGCCAAAACCCCTCTTTGTTAAAGGTCGAGAGATAATCGGTCGGCATTTTCACCACAAACGAATTAAAATTCACGTTGTGGCGGGACTCGCTCCAACCTCAGAACCATCATTTGGCTTTAAGTCTCACCATTTTTAATTGCTGTGTGTTTTGGAGGGGCAACCACATAAGTACGCTTCTCTATCTACTCTTGATTTAATGGTGGCACCTGTGGGTAGTGCCTCCACTGAATTGCGAGTACAGCATTTACTGAATTTCGTAAACTGTTTACATAAACTGCGGTTAACTGTGTTGGTTACTAATTAAGTTACTATTTGCTAGCTATAATTATGTACCATTTGCAATGTTTATTCTAGTGGTGTGTACTTGTTCGATACGATATCACAAGTAAAAGGACATACTAGTCCCTGTGCTCCTACTAGTGGGAGCACCCAGTAGTAGCATGTGGAAATGGTCGTCTGTTTGTTAACCCTAGTAAATAAATCAGGAATGTAATATAAATTTATTATTTTCAGCGTGGAATCAGCAGCTAAAGGAATAATAGAAGTGATAAAATATGGAACAGCTGGCTCAGCTTGGGTAGTAGTCGACGAAAAACCGCCTAAAGATATTTCCAAAAATTTGAAAGATGCCTTCAGTTCCTTACCTCGAGATGCCACTGGTGTATTAAAGTAATTATTAAACACTTTTATTTCATTTAGTACTTTCCGCATGAACTCACTAAGGTTTTTATATCAATTATTAAACCAAGGGTGTAATAAGAACTAATAATAAGAACTCTGTAAAATGAAATGTTTTCGTATTTTTTACACGCGTATACTGCATAGCTAAACCCTTAGATAACTTAGTTAAAACGTTGCTAAAATAGAACAGCAATTTCAATGTTTAATTTTCGTATCTATGTTTGTCTAATATTGGGTAATGGTTAAGAACACAAAAAAATTATATACACATACATATAAGCCTGAGTGAAAACGATAATAATAAACACTATATATTGTTATAATTCCCATATTCAAGAACATAACAAAAATTACGAAACACACGTATGCCTAATTAAAAATGATAAGTATTAAAATAAATTTCCAATTCCAAAATTGTCACGACACAAAAACAAGGCACAAATAATAACCGATATGCATCCCGGATTGCTAGTCAAATGGCTACTGCATAATTCAAAAGCATATTTACGTTGCCATTATAAAGCACGTTAGCCTAAACAATTTCCGCAATTACCCAGTGATTTAAGGTCAGAACATCAACCAGGCTTACGCGGCTGGCAAACTTAAAGCGGAGGAACGGTCTACGGCGATCTGCTTTGGATCTGCTTAATTTATGTTCGTGAATCTAATCACTCTGTCTAGCTTGCGTGTCTGAATGCAATTGAAATACACATTTCCATGTACACAGGAACCAAAAATTTCAAAATATTCCTTCCTTTAAATTATACTTTCAAAGTCCTCTTAACTTGGAAGTTGAAAGTTATCTCAGATGTGCGCTTCTTGCTTAACATAAATCTTCTTCAACCGTGAAATGTAATATTAAGCCGTCAAAAATATTGCAGTATTTAACGAACTTTAAACACGTACGTGTTGGTATTATGAATCGTTAACAGGAGGAATTTCCTAACATACTGACTTAACTTATATTAAATGAGAGCATTGATAATTATGCCTGGAGTAACTTTGATGGACAAATTGCGGAACATTGTGATAAGGGCGCGACGCGGCATGGAAGACGTAGTGACAAAGATATAGAGAAAGGAATGATTACTTAGTTCGGATATGTGGAGAGGATAAATAAAGGAAGATTAACGAAACAGATTTATATTGTAGGGCGAATATGAGAGGGCAAGTTGGTAAGGGCCCATAAAAGCGAACTTAGCAACGACAAAATAGAGGTGTCCTAAAGAAAGGCCATATCAAAAGTATCCTCAACTAACGAGCGTGTATTAAAACATTGATGCATGTTGATACGGCGAAAGATATATATCGTATCAAGTGGAAGGCTGTGGTCTTTGGCTGCGCAAAGTGCTTGAAGTGTATTGTGTATGGATACGGATCAATTAACAGGTTAAGTTGAAACACAGCCGATGCGAAGATTACATACGTTATTCAACTTTACTTTCCTTAACGCTCGTATTAATTATTCCAGACCAGAACCGGCTGAGTAGTTCATTCCACATTCTGCGCCAGAATTCACCAGTTGATGGGAAGCGAACTTACAGCTGAACATTTGCCAAATCCGACACGTTCTGTTTAACTATTCACCGGGATGTTTCAGCGCATCTAAATTAGAGCTGTGATTCTGCATAACGAGAGCCTGTAGCTAAAATTCAGTATAAAATTAAAGCAAAGTGAGGTTTAAGCAGACTCTATTTGAATCCTAATTCGGTTGACTATCTAAATGTGGAGAATCTTATTGAGACAGTCGCAGAAACAAAGATTCAAATGTTTATGGTAATAGTGAAATGCAAACATGTCGATAGCGTTCCAAGCGTCGTATTAAATCAAAATATCGGAAGGGGTGAAGGTAAACGTAACGTAACTTTACTTTATTAGTTTTCTGCAGAGGGACGTTTCTATCTTAAAAACAGGTCTATAAAAATTGGAAGAAATATGTTGTTATTCGATTTCCGACGACTCGCGGTCCATTACATCGGGCGGTGGACCCGAAAATTACATCAAAATTACGACCTACAAATCAGATAAAGACGTTGGGGATAATATACAAGCAATATATAGTTATTAACACACCAAGTTGCTGGCGTACAATTCTACAATCTTTACAATTACAATTTATATTACAATACATTTACAATTCTATACTTTCAACTGCCTCTGTGGCTGAACGGTTATCTATTATAAGCCGCAATCTGCTACGCAATCTCGGTTTCGATTCCCGAGCCGTGAGAAATATTTGTATGGCCTACATTTATTTCTCTCGTGAGTTTGGCCCCAATTAGAGATTGTCTATGTGTCCATGGCACCCGCGACGCAGGGTCTGCCTAGTGCAGGACTATGAATGTGTACATTATTATTATTTTAGACTCTCTCGCCTCTCCCAAGGCTAAAAAGATTAATTTTTATTATTATCTATCATCAAACAAATTATCAAACCCTTTATTATGTTCCACTGCTGAGCAAGGGACTCCTCTCAGACGAGAGTTTAGGGCATAGTCGGTCACACTGGTTTAATGCGATTTAGGGGCTTCACTCGTTTTTCCAGGGTTGTGAAACTTCATTGACGTGCAGGTTTCATTATGATGTTTCATTCACCGAAGAGCTCATAATCCAATTTCGCACATAAATTCCCAAAAACTCCTCTGCGTTTGTGCGAGCTCGGATTCTAACCGATGATCTGTGCTTGAGAAGCGGTAGGTTAAACTATTAGGCTATCAAGGCTCGCATCTCAGTCACTTTATAGTGTCTTTAGTGGCTTCGCGGAATCTAAGAATAATATCTTAAATATTTCGTGGAAGCGCGGACGAGTCCGGTAAATTCGTGAAATTGTACGCTTCTTTGATGTTTTTGTTATATAGAATCTTAACCTCTTTATTTTAAGTAATGGTGCAAGGTACCTAAAAGGTATGAAAAGGTAACAGAGTAAATCTATTTCCCAATAAATTTTCTATTCATGAAGAATCGTGAATCGTTGGAAAGATGAAACCTTTTGATCAAACTGCGAGTGTGGAGGGAAATCGATGTGAAAAACTGGTCCAATAAAACTCGACCCCTTTTTGTTTCCCTAAATTTATCTGATGAAGGTGAACTCAGTTTATTTTTTATAGGATCAGGGAATTTTATTCCACTCTAAATCAAGCGTAAACATTACGACAAATATAGGAAAGTCTGAGGTAACTCAAGCATACCATTATAATGATCGCTCATACAGTTTACCAAACAATCAGTCATGTTTTTGTGTTGTACCTATTTAAAAGAAATCCAATTACATACTGTGGAGCAAGGAGTTCTAATTAAGTTGGTAACTACTTACTTTAACATATTTCTTATCCTTGGTATAATAAAACCATATATCTATCATACGTCAAATTTTAGGGTCCAATGAAAACCAGCGTCACAGCCTTTACTCGGCTATGACATTAGCAGAGTGGATGTTTTTGTATACGCCACAGCCGCACACATGACATTTATTCAGTCGTGTTGATTATTTAAAATTAGATATGTTTGTTTTGTTGTTTTTTTGTTATTTTATTATTTGTTTTGCAAATACAACTGATTTAGTAGCAGTAGAGTTTTTGGTGACAGAGTTCGTCCAGGGGGATTTCTATGAGCTTATAGCCAGCCAGCCAAGATCTATGCAAATTACTTGACGTGGTAAAACTGAATTGCTTAAATCCGTATCATGAGCTACACAAAAGTTGAACGGGAATGGCATGGCAGGATGATGAATTTTACTTTTTAAACGTTAATTGTTGTCTCTGGCTGGTTAGCTGACATCTAACAAGAGCGAGATGGAACTACATACATAAATCATATGAAAGAATTAGACAGATGTACTATCTTGGGAGCGTTCAAGCACTATTAACCGATTGTGTTCAAAATGAGAATAATTATATTTTTTTATTTATTTTATTATTAATTATACTTATTACGTTGTTTTGTTATATCGGCTACTTTTCAATCATACTTTACAATTTGGCGTACGACAAAATTACATATCATGTTTAGTCATTATCATTGAAATAAATAAGGGGAGTTTGTAATTTGATAACATAATTGGAACGTATTCTGTATTCGTACATTTTATAATAATAATTTTATAATAATAAAATATAGCAAAAAAAAGTTATTTTACGATTTTCGGTCAATAAAATTATTAAAATGTTTAAAATTCCATTTAAAAATTGCAATAACTTAATATAAATTGAAAAACAAATATACGCGATTTAAATCCGGAAACATAGTTTCATTTCCTATGTGTAACAATCGCGAAAACCTAAGAACTCGATAATTGCAATAACATTCAAGCCAATAATTTATCAACAATACTTTAAAGATTAGAAACTCAAACTAAAATTTTCAAAAAACGCTCAATAGTTTATAATATTTATTTATTGACAATTCGCAATATAGCCTAAAAAGATATGAAATAATTATGAAACTGAAAATATTATAAAACTTAAACGAAATTTCTTAAAAATGTAACAAAATCACGGAGTAACTTTTTTTTAATTGTTTAACGGATTTCGAATGAGGAACGTAAACTGCATGGACAGTGAATTGTTTTTGTGAGGTCATAGTACGAATTTGGTAGGCAATCCAACTTACAGGCTTAAATAGAATTGCTCTAAGAGCTTATAGTAAGCCCCCAGGGAACTACTGCAACCTTACCTATTTCTGCAAGAAGTAATGTGAGCATTATTCCATGCCGGTTTTGAATTGTAAGGGTGCTGGTGAAATTACAGGCACATGGGAATTGTCAACTTTTGTCAACAACA